AAATAATATTGTTCCTTATGGACTGCTAGTTAGAAAAATGGAGGAATAAAAATATTGATGTCAGGAACCAAGTTTTTTTGGTATGTATGGCTGAATATGTATCTTTGTTTTCATTCTCATTCACATTTTTTGTTTAGGATCAGCTGAAAAATGAAATTCTAACAAGTAGAAATATACTCCCAAATTATCAATGCAGTAAGTAATGGTAAAAATTCATGTTATAGGAAAACATGAAATTAAATATTTTAACATACATTTGCTGATAAAGTTACTTTGACAAACACTGTTATTTTATACCTTAGTGTTATAATACAGCATATTTGGATAATACATTGTTATTCAGGAATAGATCATAACACCTACACTAGAGGAGAATAAGGTTCGCTCTGAATAGCCAACCTCCTTTGGCCTCCGTGTGTTCTTCTCACCTTGTTATTTGGTCTTTGTTTTAAGATGTAGGTTTTCTTTTTTTTTAAATAACTAAATCTCTGTCATCTTGGTATTTAGATCATGCTCAGCATGTTATTATTGTAGTGTTAGGATAAATCAACCACTGTCCAGCTAGAGATTAATTTAGGAGAGCTTTTCTATTTCTTGGCAGCCTCACCTTTATTTCTGAACTAGATCTCTAACAAAGCTACCTGCTTATTTATTTATTTTTTCCATCTATTTTCTTCATTTCAGTTTTATTCTAAAGAAGCTATTGCTTTATTTTTATTTAGTATACCCCTTCCTAATTGTTCTCATCTTTTATGCCCATGCGGTCCCATAGTACTCTGGCTCACTGTTGTTTTCTTTGTGTTCTTTTATAGCTAATTATCATTGGATGATAGCTGGGACTTTATCTTATGTTCATAGACCTCTTTATTTAATGATGACAAAATTTTTAAGTCCTGCTAGTTTGTGAAAGCATTTAGTTTCATTGATAATAGAAGTAGTTCAGGAAAATCTACAACTTCATTTTTAGGCAATTTCCATTTATAAATAACCTATAAATCAGTTATAATTTTTTGTACAACCTTATGCAAATTATAATTGCCATAGAGTATCAGAATTTTTATACTTTTAATACTGTTTTCATAGTTTACCTTACTTTTCTCTGTTTTCTTCCCTGCTATACCTTTTATTTTATTTATTTATTTATTTAGTTTTTGAGATAGAGTCTTACCACGTCACCCTCGGTAGAGTGCTGTGGCATCGCAGCTCACAGCAACCTTAAACTCTTGGGCTTAAGCAATTCTCTTGCCTCAGCCTCCCAAGCAGCAGGGACCACAGGCACCGGCCACAGTGCCCAGCTATTTTTTGTTACAGTTGCCATTGTTGGTTAGCTGGCTTGGGCTGGGCTCGAACTCACCACCTTTGGTGTATGTGGCTGGTGCTGTAACCACTGTGGTGCAGGTGCTGAGCCTGCTATACCTTTCTATACTACCTTAACCTGAATAATATTTTCTATAATTGATTTTGAGATTATATGTATAATCGTAATTTTCAAAATCACAAAGTGGTGAGCAGTATTTTTTCTGGAATGAATTTTATTCATGATTATATTCCTAAATTCTGTCAGTGATAAATAAGACAGGAATTAATTAGATTTCTTTTCCTTCCTTGTATTAGTATTTTTAATGACTAATATAATCATAAAATACTTTGTAGTAAGGAAGAGAAGGCTGATTTTATACAGACTGTGCATAACTTAAGAGTAGATTATCTGTTTTATACATTTCTTACCTAGAAGGATAGCAGTCCACATTCTTCCTTGGAGATTCCACTTTAGCCACTGGAGCTTATTATGCATACAAGTAGATGCTTAAATGTTTTATTATTATTATTTTATTATCAAATCATAGCTGTGTACATTAATACAGTCATGGGGTACAGTGTGCTGTTTTTATATATAATTTGAAACATTTTCATCAAACTGGTTAACATAGCCTTCATGTCATTTTCTTAGTTATTGTGTTAAGGCATTTATATTCTACTTTTAGAAAAATTCTCATGTAAGATGAACCACAGGCATGATCCCACCAATCACCCTCCCTTCACCCATCCTCCTCCCTCCCCTCCCCCTTAAATGTTTGTTGATAGTGATTTTGTTACACATATCTTTGATTATTTTTCTTCACTTCAAGAGCAAGTGTTCTTATAATTATTTACAACTGTTGCATGTAAGAGCATATAAACATATGTTGTATCTTCCCATGTGCTGTAAGTTTTCCAGCCAGTATCAGCCTCTGCAAAACTCTACATGAATCCTTATGCAGAAACAGACCTCAAAACACCCAAACTGGACTGGAATATAGAAGTACAAAATATCGCCATTGAACTGACCAAACCTCAGGTACAATTTGTTTCGACATTTCTAGGTTTCTTTAACTTTGAATTTTTACTGCTTTTCCTCTTTGTGATTATTGCTTCTCTTATGGTCTGGCAGTTCTTTTGGTTCATTAGTTTGAGATTTGACTCTTTCTTTAATAAAAGAAAATAATTTTAAAATAAATTTCAAATTTGTAATTTCTTCCATTTTTACCTTATCTTTTCCTAAATTGTGGAGAATCATTTTAGGCTATAGTAAATGACATTATTTCCATTTAATTCAAAATTGTTGATGGAGGATTTTTATTTATTTTTTATTAAATCATAACTTTGTACATTGATGTGTTTATGGGTTCAGGGTACTGCTTCAGTATACAATGTGAAATGGTTATATTGAACAAAGTAACACATCCATCACACTTATACTTATTTCTTAATAGTTTTGAAATGTACCATTGCATCATGCATATTAGGGTAGGTCGCCCCAAATACCCTCTCTCCTCCCATATCCCCCTTTCCCTCCCCTCTCTCTCCTCTTCCCTTCTACTTTCTGGACTATAGTTATGTTTTGCCATGCATGTGAGTGTGTAGGTGGTTATATATTGATTTCATAGTAGTATTGAGTACATTGGATACTTTTTTCCCCATTCTTGAGATACTTTACTAAGAAGAATATGTTCCAGCTCCATCCAGGTAAACATAAAAGATGTAAAGTCTCCATCTTTTTTATGGCTGCATAGTATTCCATGGTGTAGATATACCATAATTTGTTAAACTATTCATGGGTCAGTGGGCACTTGGGTTCTTTGCAAGTCTTGGCTATTATGAATTGGGCTGCAGTAAACATTCTGGTGCTAATGTCTTTATTGTAATTAGTGGAGGATTTTAATGTGATTTTCCCTCCTCATTTTTTAGTAATAGATATTCTTTTTGTTTTTGTTGTTAAGCAGGCTTGGGCCGAGTTTGAACCTACTACCTCTGGTACGCAGGGCTGGTGCTCTTAACCACTGAGCATAGGTGCCCAACCTATATACTCTTATATTAAATACTGTTTCTTTGATTTTTAGAACAGCTATATTAGCAGCTTTTTCTTCATTTGTTTTCTAAGCATGGTTGTCTATTCAGAGTGTTTGGATAACAGACCTGGAGAATTGGAAGTGAAAGGGGGACAGGAAGTTTAGATAATTGAGCTTTTAGCTGGGTGCTGTCCAATTAAAACGTAATCCAGGCCCTCTGCAGTGGTTTATGCCTATAATCCTAGCACTCTGGGAGGCTGAGGCAGGATTGCTTGAGCCTAGGAATCTGAGGTTGCTGTGAGCTAGGCTGACACTGCTGTACTCTAGCCAGAGCAATAGAGTGATATTCTGCTTCAAAAGCACACAAACAAACAAAGTAATACAAGTTGTTTTTATAGTTTTAGTTTTTCTATTAGCTAATTAGCAAAGTGAAAAGTAAGCTGTGAAATTAACTTTAATGCGTTTTATTTATCCTACCATAATCTTACCATGTAATCAATATAAAAAGATCGTAACAAGATATTTTACAATCTTGCCTCCTCCCCTGCTAAGTCTTTGAAATCTTTTACACTTGTAGTACATTCAAGTTCAGGTACATTTCAAGTGCTGAATAGCCTCGTGGCAGGTAACCCTTAGTTAGAACTGTGTTAAGAAAAATTAGAGAAGGGAAGGTAGGCTTGCCCTTATCTTGCCTGCAGTCTTGCTGCCTCTTGAGCGTGTGTGTTTTTTCCTCCTTTTCAACTGTTTATCAGATCCACACAGAGTTGCTGTGTTGGTGGTAAGAGGGGTGCTTAGATAGCTTTATCTTGCTTTAGTTACACAGTAATTTTCTGGAACAGTTTAAAAATTAGCTCATAGATAGCTACTGGTGAAGTGATGGCCCAGTGGAAAAGTATACAGTTTGAAAACAGGCATGTTTCATGTTAGTTCAGTTATATATACCGCATTTCATTGTTTCTAGGATGTACATTTAATTTACATTTTAACATATCAAGGTACGATGTATGTTGCTGGTTGTAACCTATTGTTTCTAGGATGTACATTTAATTTACATTTTAACATATCAAGGTACGATGTATGTTGCTGGTTGTAACATATTGTTTCTAGGATGTACATTTAATTTACATTTTAACATATCAAGGTATGATATATGTTGCTGCTGCTGACAGTTTAATTGGCAGCAATTTTCTTTTGTAATGGAATCTAAAAATTATGTTACACTAAATATTTAATAGTGTCTTAAGTTTGATGAAATACAGTATATTATTGAGTTGTCAGGCAACAATTTTCAAGGAATTGGGAGTCTTAGTGGACTGAAAAATAGAATAAAATTTGGTCTTTATCCATGTGTCCAATACAGTAAACATAGTTTTATTTTTATTTTAATAGTACTTAAGTATGATTGACCTTTTGGAGTCAGTGGATTATATGATTAGAAATGCCCCTTATAGGAAATATAAGCCTTGTTTACCACTTCACACCAATTGTCGACAATGGTAAGTTACACTTTGATTTTTATTTTATAAGAAACATATGTAGTCAGGGACTCTCAGAGTTAAAAATACTTTAAAGCCATGTAATCCAGCCATTTTGTTTTAAAAGAGGACAAGAGTGCGGTATCTTTTATGTGTCCATGTTGGCTATTTCTCATAAATGTGTCCACTTGTTCTCCTGCTCCTGGATTCCCAAATTCTTAACTTAGCATTTAAGACTTCCAGCGTTAGAGAAGGAATCTTGTTTCTCATCATTCACTCCCATAGATTCAGTGTTATAACCATATTGGAATACTGTTAATTTCTGTGTCATTTTGTGCCTTTATGATTTTGTTTTTACACACACCCCTTTCTTGGAGGATTGTTTAATACCTTAATCTGCTTAAGTCAGAGAATGATACCGGGGAATTGAAATACTATTGCCGAGCTCTTGTGGGAAGACAGTCAAGAAGAATAAAAATTTAACAGTGTAAAACCTGAAAAGTCAAAGCCGTTTTTCTGCCTTTTCTTAAACCTTTATATTCAGATTGCATTAACAATATTTTTGATTTTCAGGTGGAAATATGCAATTGATTCTGTTCTTGAAGTTCATGTAAGAAGGTATATGCAGATGTGGTCATGGAGTAACATAAAAAAGCACAGGCAGCTACTCAGGAGTTATAAAATTGCCTTCCAGACCAAGTTAACCCAGACCAAAGTCTCAGAAGAAGTACAGAAACAAATACAGGTATGTCTTGCATATATTAGAGAGAGCTGTTGTTTGTCTTATCATCTTTCAGTATTCTTCTGCATTTAATTTGAATAAAAGTATAGTTTTATAAGGAACAAATTCTTGAGAAAGAGCAATTCTTTTTGAGAGAGAATTTTGTGGGCAAATGCAGAGTATTTTTCCTCAGGTTCTTAAAAAGAAAAGCAAAACTCTTTCTTGCCTATCCTAATATCAGAGAAAATAAAGTTAATATAAACTATTTGGGGAAATGTGTCTCATTTTTTAAATATTGCTTAGAAAACCAGTATGCTAGCCATCTGTATCTTGTTCTGTTAATAAAAGTCCTATATTTATGTGGTGGTGGCTTTTTTAAAGACTTCAATATTTTACTTATACAAAACAGCTTTCACTCCTTGAGAAAAGAGAGGAATCTCATTTATCCCCTTTTAAAAAATTGAAAACACACACTAAGTCCATAATTTGCTTAAAATCATGTGATCTAGATTAGAAACTATTTCTGCTACTGATTCATCATGTGAAGAATGAATTGGATTTCTATTATTCTGAAATATATGACAATCACCAGCATCATATATTAGAAATAGCACCAGGATTGGAGTCAGATGGATTTGGGTTCAGGTATCAAGTTGAGTATTTACCAGGTGTTCTTCTGATGATGGGCTCAACTTTCTCAACCAAACAAGTCTAGTGTTCTCATATGTAAAATGGAAATAATATCTGTCTTACAGAATTGTGAGAACTGCATGAAATAATACATAAAGCACCTGTAACAGAGGTCACCCAGTTAATGTTAGAGTCCCTGTAGACATTTTATGTAAATTCCTCAAGTCAGTTTCTACTTTAGCTCACTTATTAACTTACAGAATTTTATGTTCTTAAATTTTGTGTGTTTTATAATGGTGCCTTTATCATAGTGGTTTTAATAAAACACAGAAGAAAGGAGAGTAAGAAGAACTGTAAGGATAATACCTAGAACAGATTTCTCTCTTAAATATTCTTATTTTCATGTGCATATGTAGCTATCTCTGAATTACAGTGGTCTTACAGAAAAATTGATATTTTCATACTATATTTAATGAGAGTTTAATTTCTTGGAATATTGTTTTTCTCTTATTGTAAAAATTTTTAAAATGTGGCCTGGCATGGTGGCTGACAGCTGTAATCCTAGCACTTTGGGGGGTGAGGCAGGAGAATTATTTGAGGCCAGGAGTTGAGACCAGCCTGGGCAACACAATGAGACCTTGTCTATACAAAAAAAAAAAAAGCAAAAAACTTACTCAGCATGGTGGCATATGCCTGTAGTGTAAACTACTCTGAAGGCTGAGGTGGGAGGATTGTTTGGGCCCAGGAATTAGAGGCTGCAGTAAGCTGCGATGATGCTATTGCATTCCAGTCTGGGTGATAAAAAGAAACCCTGTCTCTCGCTACACATAGACACACACAATTTTAAAAAGTTCAAAGCCCTGCCCAGTATACATTTAAATTAATACTTTCATTAAATCACGAGTACTGGTAATGGACTAGGTAAGCCTACAACTGATAGAAGAAATTTTTTCGTCTAATAATCACTTGTTTACAAATATCTCTTTGTTTTATAGGACTTGGAGAAGACTCTAGATGTGTTTAACATAATTTTAGCAAGGCAACAAGCGCAAGTTGAGGTAATCATGTTTATCAGCTGATTATATGTTTTAAATATGTTAATGGCAATCCTTTAAATCTAGGCATATGGTTGAGTTTTATTGATTAATTTAGTCTCAGCGGAAAACAAAATGGGATACTGGAAAAAAGCCATTAATGTGAAGGGGGAAAAACAAAACATTTTATAAACTTTCTTTTTTTAAAATTTTTTTAAGGTGACGACAACAATATATAAACTTTTATGAATAATATTATTTATTTTTCAAGTGAAAAATTCCCAAGAGAAGATGAATAAAATTATCCATAATCTTAACAAGTTAGAATGCTATTCTTAACATGCTGGCATAGGCTTCCAGTTTTTCTCCCATGCTTGTATAGCTGCTTATTTATCCTTTTCTTTTCTTTTACTTTGTCTTTTCCTTTGTTTCCTCCACATCCCTTTTTCTTTCTCTCCCTCTCTTCTTTCTTCAATTTTTCCCTCCTCTCTTTTCCCTTTTTCCACAATTGGAATCAGTCTGCTTATGGTGGTTTGTAACTCTTTTATTGATGCCTTGTGTATATTGTTCAGTGTCATCTCAAAGAGTCTGTAGCATGACTTTTTTGGTAATTAAAAAAATACAAATGCAGTAGAACTCATTATGGAAAAATTAGTAAATGTAGATGAACAAAAGAAGAAAAGGGAAACACACATCTCCCACGCTGATGGTAACTACTGTGAGTAACTTTCTGGATGTCTGTTCAGTCCTTTCTATGATTGTACATCTTTACACTCGTACTTTTACGTGAGATTAAAGCATATACCGTCAACCCTTAAACAACGTGAGGGTTAGGTGTGCCATGCCCCCACGCAGTTGGAAAGTTTGCAGGTAACTTTTGATTCCCTTAAACTCTTAACTACTAATAGGCTTATTGACTGAAAGCCTTACTGTTAATGTAAACAGTTCATTAATACGTATTTTGAATGTTATTATATTCTTACAATAAAATAAGCTGAAAGAAAGAAAATGCTATTAAGAAAATTGTAAGGAAGAGGAAATATATTTACTATTCATTAAATGGAAGAAGATGATCATAAATGGTCTCATTCTCATTTTCTTCACATTGAGGAGACTCAGGAGGAGGAGGAAGAGCAGTGGTCTTTCTGTTTCAGTGGTGGCAGAGGTGGAAGGAAATCTGTGTAGAAGCTGACTTGTGCATTTCAAACCCGTGTTGTTCGTGAGTCAGCTGTGTACTGATTCATTTATTTGGCAAATACTTATTGAGTGCCTGTTATTCTGGCATTAGGGATAAAAGTTTGGACTCGGGAATCAGATGGACTGGATTTTGATCCCAGCCTTGCTATCTAATTGCCATCTCCTAATTGTATGATTTTAGGGTATTTAACCTGTATGTGCCTTGGTTTCCTGATTTGTAAGATAAAATTAATAGTATGTATATCATGGGTAATGTGAGGAGTTCATGATAATTCATATAAAGCACTTAAACTATTAGGTGCCCAGAATGTAGTAATTGTTAAGTAAGTAATGCTTTTTCTTGGTCATCGTCATCATTTGTGTTAGCATAGAGAAATGAACAAAACAGGAGAAAATCCTTAATTTATATTCTAACAGGAAAAAAGTTAAAGAAACATAAATGAATAAAAATAAAGCAAGGAATATAGAGAGTGCGGGAGATAGGTGGTGATGATGATAGTTGTTAAAGAAAGCCTCACTAAGAAGGAAACATGTAGGCAAAGACCTGAAGAAGATGGGGGTGTTAGCCAGTACGCTGTAAGCAGGCAGAAAGAATAAATTGCTCAAAGATTACAAGATGGTCATTCAGGAAATTAACTGGAATCATGAGAGAGGGAAGAGTGGTGGTTAATGGGGTCAGAGAAGTAAGGTAGCAGAGGAAGAGGAGGTGTTTGTGGGGGTTGGGGGGGATGCTAGATTGTGTGGCATTTTATAAGCCATTGTGTGAATTTTGGCTTTTACTCCAAATTGGGAAGCCACTATAGTATGTTTTGAGAACAGGATAATATGACTTGTTTTAAAAGACTCTGGGTGATTTGAAAACATACTATAAGAGAGAGGGTAATGGTAAAAGAGGGAGATCAGTTAGAATACATTTTTAAATAATGGAAGTGAGAGGCAATGGTAGCTTGGCCTGGGAGTGGTTACATTGGAGGTGATAAGGACCGGTCAGATTCTGTATATATTTTGAAGGTAGCCAGTATTTCTTGACTAATTAGATAGATGTCAGTTGTAAGAAAGAGAGTGAAAGCTCACTTTAAGGATTTTGGCCTGGAGTAGTTGGGGTGATGGAGTTGCTATCAAATACGATGCAGAAGACTGAGGGGAACATGCTTGTTGAGGTAGGAAAAGTTCAGGCATTCTGTTTGGGGCTGATCAAGAGAGGTTTAATTATCTCTTAGATATCAAACGGACGATATGGAGTAGGCAATTGGATACATGAATATGGAATTCGGAAGAGAGGTCTGTGCTGGATATATGCTTTTAGGAAGGGTTAGCACCTAGATGTCATTTAAAGCCCTGAGATCAGATGAGAGTACCTGAATAATCAGAGTGGCTAGAGAGGAGGAGAGTTCCAAAGATGTGATGGGTATGGTCAGACGATGGGAAAGAGCCAGCAAAGGTGACCACAGAGGGATGGTCAGAGATGTAGCAGGGAAGCCATACGAGTCAAGGCTTCACATCCAAGAGTGGTCAGCTTAACAGCTGCACCTGAATTGTCAGCGGAGCCAAGATGAGAACTGTTCATTAAGTTTACCAAATTTTGGATAATTTTAGCCGTAAGTTTTTCAAATAATTTTTGGTCACAATTTCTTTTTCTTCTTTCTCTTTTTGGACTTTATATACAGATGGTGCCAAAAATGTATACACGTTTTAAGAAGGGAAAAGATTATTAAAATTGTAATAGTCAAGTCATGTTTGACTTCATCTATTATAAGTGATACAAGATAGAGATAAAATTTACAGAATAACAAAGGTTATCAGTGTACATTGGTAATTGCAATTTTAACATAATTTTTCCCTTAAAATGTGTATACATTCTTTGTCACCC